TTAGTGAAAATCTCATCAATGTAATTTTCAGAGCATCATTACTAAAATTACTAAATGATTCTAGATAAAAGAATCATGAGTCTATCAAGTAAATCATCTTTAATTGATCAACAAAAAAACTATTGTCAAAAAGAGGATAATCTATCAAAAGATGAGTTGTCATCTCTTGAGAGCAAATCAGATGTGACAAAAAGCCTCCTCTTTTTGTGCAAACTTGAGAATGAAGCTCTTTAAGATGCACCCTACTTCATTCAAGTTATTTCTATTAGGTCATAATTATCAAAGGTCCACAAAGTTACCATTTCTCTGCTCTACTAAGTGATAGTTACTGATGATAATTCACCAACCCACTTCATTAATTTTTAATTTTTAAGAACACCTAGATATTACCAATGTTGTCCTTATCTAAGAAGACCCTATGTTTCTACTTGATTCCCATTCATCAGACTGCTGACATCATCATGATGTCTTGACCCTTATTTCTTTTTTTTGTGAATTTTTAAATATATTTTATATTTATTATTTAGTTTAAAAATCATAAAAAATTATATTCTTCTAAGATTTTTTTTCATAGTAATTGTATTATTTTACGTCATTACAACTGAATTGGGAATTTCCTATTATTTTTGAGACCTTTTATTGAATTATAATTGATTTATTTGATTTGAAATATTTTAAAAATCTAAAAATTATTATTTCTTAGGTTTATAAATTTTAAATTTACATGATTTATTCTACAATGATTAAGTCATGTCACAAAGGTTGCATATTTTTGTTTCATGACATGACCTAATCATTGTATAATAAATCACAAAAATTTAAAATATATAAAACTAAAAATTTTATTTTAAATTTTTTTAAAATATTTCAAAAAAAATAAATCAATTCTAATTTTATAAAAAATTCAAAAATAATAGGAAATTTTCATATCAATCACAAGGATGTGGGATAATACATGGTAATATTTTAGACTTTTTCATAAAGCATACAATTTTGTTATTAAAAATTTGTGAGAAAGGGAAATTTGGGTGCAAACATCAAAATGATGTCAACACCCTAACAAACGTTAATAAGGTAGAAATAGAGTTCCATCTAGTGATTCTTACGTAAACTATTAAAAACAATTAAATTGGTTAAATTAAGATCTTTAAAAGTGATAAGAATCATAATTAAATAGAGAACATTTTTGAAACTTGAAATCACATATATTAAGTTTAAATTAGAAAAGATTAACTTCTAACTTTACGACAAGGATCGCTTAAATTCTATGTTCAAAAAGATCAGTGAGTGATATCTATAGCCTCAAAGGCTCTCTTTTGACAAAGACAATGTTGACAATATTTAGATCTTTTTACAAAGTTTAAAAATCAATGAGGTGAGTTGATGAATCTATCTCCAATAGTTGTCACTCGACAGAGCAAAAAATAATGAGTTTTTGATCTCCAGCGACTATCATCCAACATTTGGGGGAAAAACATTTATGAGGTAGCTCTTATTGTAAGGAACACCTTGATTCTTGAATCAATTCAAAGGGGAATGGTTTTCTAAGAGCTCTATGGTGTGCACTTGTCATTGTATTTAAATGCACACTATCAAATAATATTTTGAACTAAAACTTAAAAATACTAATATAAAAGTAGTCTCAAGTCGAACACAGAGAGATTGATAAATCTATCATGAAACGAATGTAATTTATATATAAAGTGATTTAAATATTTTATTTATATTTAATAGAAATAATAAAATAGAAGGGTGAGGTGAAAAGAATAAAGGAAGGGAAGTGAAAAAAAGGAAGAAGGAAAAGAGAGAGAAGAGAGAGCTCTCACGAGAGAGAGAAGGGATGAGATCTCTCATGGAAGGGAGAAAAAGAGAGAGGAGAGAGAGCTCCCACAAGAGAGAGAAGGGATGAGATCTCTTGTGAAAGGGAGAAAAAGATAGAAGAGGAGAGAGAGCTCCCATGAGAGAGAGAAGGGATGAGATCTCTCATGAAAGGGAGAAAAAGATAGAAGAGGAGAGAGAGCTCTCACAGGAGAGAGAAGGGATGAGATCTCTTGTGAAAGAGAGAAAAAGATAGAAGAGGAGAGAGAGCTCTCATGAGAGAGAGAAGAGATGAGATCTCTTGCAAAAAGAAGAGGAAGAGAGAGATCTCATAGGAGATGGAGAGAGAAGAGAGGTCTCATGAGAGAGGGAGAGAGAGGAATAAGAAGAAAATAAAAAAAAAGAAATATGATCAACCTATTTTCTCATATGAATGTGTGCTTGAGTATTCACACACATGACATGAGGTCAGTCGTGAATGTCTCTAACTTATTTTAATTGTTGAATGCTCATTAATCAATCATTAATCTCGGTGATTTCATGCTCGAAAATAGAAAAATACTCATCATTTGCAGAATGCTAAGAACAAGAATACATCGAGATTTGACAATAAAACTTAATAGAAAACAAGTTGAAAATGATATTAGCTTAATCTTATATGAGTTTCAGAGGATTCAGAAGAAGAACGAAGATCATTCATCAAGTTTTAAATTAGTTCTACTCATTTCAATTGAAATGTGTATGAAATGATAATAACTTATTGTAAAATATAAATAAATCACAAGAACAAGTAAGTAAATGTTGAAAGTAAGAAATAAATCATTGCCCAAGTTTAGTCTACCTCCTAGGCAATTAGAGACACTGATGTAGTGGCTTGGTTTCATCTAAATGTGTCTACCATGTTGAAAATCATAGAAGTATTGTCCGAAAGCACTATGTTGCTTGTTAGAGAGTTTTGCCAGAAGAGGGGTCGAACATGTTGTCACCGTTATTGGAGGCCTTGAGTATAGTCAAGGGAGGAAGGAATGAGCTTTGCCAATCACTAGAGACATCGATCACACAAAGGAAGGAAGAATAGATTGTTGTATTTACGACTACCATCGGGATTTTAAAGATAATTGATATGTCTATTTTACCAAATAATAATCAATTATTATCTTTATATCCCTAATAGTGATATGTGTGAAGACTTAAGTTCTTGGTATCGTGATGCTTTGAGAGCCGCAAGATCAAATGAGCTTGGTATGTGGTGTGTTGAGTGATGTAAGATCAACTCGCTGCATACCACTATCAGTCTCCTTTTGCATCAGAGTATAATCTTTTTTACAAAGTTGCACACATCGCTAATTGCCAAAACCCAACTTAGCAAAGCATTCAACCCAAAGTCATCTAGTGCTCAATTAGAATAGTTGGGTTGTTTTCATACCCACATTAAAATAGTATAAGCGATTGATTGATTTTCTATGGGCACTAAGTGTTTCAGGTGAGGGTTCATATGTTGAGTTTTTATACAACCCAATAGAGGGTTGAAAACAGGATTCACATGACTGGGTCAGCTCGAACCTGATTGACTCAGGTTTGGGCCGGGTCAACGAGAAAGTGATGGATTCCACATGGCAGCTGCTCAAGAAGGTGGAAATTTCCGAGCTGACCATCCTTAAACGGGGTTAATGGAGTTGTGTTATCTCATAATTAAATCCCGGAGAATGACAACTGTCGCTTCTCTTCGCTTCTCTCAAGTCGCATAATTTCGTTTGATCCAGTCAAGTGCCCCCAGTCGCCTGTGTACACGTCCGCCAGGTGGGCTCCAGCTCGACTGCTGACTGGGACGCATTGGTGGGAAGTGAAAATCACGTAGGTTCGGTCAACATGCACCAGTACAGGTGGCGTCCTGAGGGACGAAGATGAGAGAAGCGCCTGGATGATCCGTCCGTCCGTTGCACGGCCTCTCCCACACAGTGAGGTGAGGTCGTGGATAGCTTTCAGTAGGGTTCCCCCCTTTTAATTTTCCGCCAAGAAAATTCTCCAAATAATAAATATGAGAGCTGCGGCCCAAAAAACCGGTCGATCAGGTCACTGGAGAAGGCGATCGATCCTCGGCCCCACAGTTGGATAGCTTCCTAGATGACACGTGGCAGCCCTGCTCTTTAAAGAACCGCGTGAATTAGGCAGCCATCGGCATTGAGGATTAAAGTTTTAATTTTACCGGTTTGAGATTTATATTTTTAATTATAGACAATCGCAGCATAACTATCTTGTGGTAATGTCCTGTGGATGTGTTTCAGCTTGGATTTCCTTGAAGACGACATAAGACGATAACCAGAGAGGGTCAGATTCTAAGTATTGATTTCCTTTGGGTTTTTGGATAAGTAATCGTAAAACTTACGGGCAGAGAGAACCGAGATGATCGTTGACTGAGAGCGTTTCAGGGTTCAGTCAGTAGAAAGGATAACTTTTTTCTCTGAAAACAGAAATAGGACACTGACCCGTTGACCAGTATTCGGAGAATTAGTCTTGAATAGGACGGTCGGGAGAAATATTAACATCATAGCGCCGGGAAATCGTGCGGGTGAAGAAACTTGAAGAGTAATCTGAGTCGTAGGCACATTAAAGAGAGGGGCAACTTTGTTGAAACTCCTCAGATTAGCGGCGTTTTAAT